AAGAAATAATATATATATATATATATATATATGAGAAAAGAGAAATAAATAAATAAAAATGTGAAACCCATCACCTTTTAATTTCTCTCATCTGTATTTCTCTTCAATCAAATAACTTCTTTCATTTGTAGTCTTTGGACTCTATTTCTTACCCAATTCTTCTCTGGCAAACAAGACATTATAATTTGGTTAGTTCCTTCAGCGTTGATTTGGTTCCCGACGTTTCTGTAGTGACGTATACCATTCTATTAGCTATATTGGGTTATGTTGTTATGCATGCATGGCATATATGCACCACACCGGCCACTTCTGCCACCTGAATAATATGCCACTGCAACTGTGAACTGTTGTCCTGTGACCACACGTACTTCTTATCATATCCATTCATTATTGCAGCTATTATATACAAACACGTTTCCTTCTCTAACATACAAAGACGTATGGCATAACAGTTTAATTACCAGAACTCACCAATCTATCATGTACCTCATGGTCTTGATGGAGCTACTATTGTAAACTGTATATGTAATTGTTTTAGTTTTATAAAATACAAATGTTCTTAATGCGTTAAAGGCAGAAGATGATATGAATCTTCATATATAGTTTGTACGATCTAGCTGTGTTAGATTTTAAGAGTGTGTGACAACACATTTTAATTGATCATATATATCTGAAAATTTGAAAAGTGATGAGAAAACCTCTACGCATGCACATGAAGACCACTGACGATTATTCGGCATATATCACCTCACATGCATATATATACCCACGATTTCATATATATTACGTTAAACAAAATTCAATACATGGTTTTTCAAAAAAGTAAAAAGACTTCTAGAGATCTATTAAGCGTAGACACCTCCAGCTCCAAGAAAAATAGAAAGAGAACAGATAAAGAATTAATATGTTTTCAAAAAGACTTCTAGACATCTATTAAGGGTAGACACTTCCAAGAAAAATAGAAAAATAAGAGATAAAGAATTAATACGATGAATAATGTGATATGAAAAAACAAATGTTGAATATCTCTTTAATGTTTGAAAATGTGGAAGTTAAAAATAAATAAATAAAAAAAACTTTTAGTTGACGATTTCATCATTTTATTATATGTATTTATTGGGGATGATTCTATTGATCAACGATCACTTGAGACTTTCGGCTATTCGACCATGACTAATACAACTGTTTTTTGCGATGCATTCAGTTCATTTATTTTAGTAGATGCATGCATACATAGATAAAGAAATATCATACATTAATTAATTAAGAGGTGTGTAAAAACTATTGAGGAACTTTTGTTTTTTTTGAACCTAAATACTTTTCAATTGAAAGTTAATAACTGATTCTTCGAGGTGTTTAAATTTATTTAATGATTTGATTTCTAAACAATTTTTTTTTCAAACAAATGGATCCAAAATCAATCTCCTAACTATATTTACAACAATACACTGAGTTTTTGTCCTCAACCTAAATATTTTTTTTACCGATAAATTTCAGCCTTTACATAAATATAAGTAAACGGTTAAAGTTTGAATTGAATTTTGTTTTACTAGATTTCTACATGAATCGCAGGGACGGAGCCAGGATTTCAATACTGGGGGTGCCATATAGGGGGTGCCATATAGTAATATACATATGAGTTTATATTAAAAATATGAGTTTATATTAAAAATAGGGGGTGCCATATAGTAATATATATGTATATAAAAAAAAATTAAAATTGTTGGGGGGGCCGTGGCACCCGTAGGTCCCCCCTTGGCTCCGTCCTTGTACATGATGTTTTCCTTTTTTTGTGAAACTTGATCTCAAGATTCTAAACATGATTCTTAATAAAAAAAATTTCTTAAAATAAAAAAAATTACAAAAATAGTCGCAATGAAGATTAAATCTAAGTCTTCATATTTCTAACTATTTCAATCTTTCTCTACCCAACCACTATATTAACCTTAATAATTTTTTTGGAAAGTAACAGTAATGAGTGTAGGCTACACCCCTAATGAAAGAGTTAGACATTTCTCCCACAGTAAAAAAAGTTAAAAATGACTATTAAATTTACATATTTTTAAATTAATGGTTGTCATTTTTCTTTCATTTTATAGTGTCTACTTTATTTAATTAAATAACTCTTTGTCATACACAATTTTCTAACATTATATATATTCGTATATAGATTTGGACAAATTAGTTATACGAAAATATTATATTCGTTGAATTTATTAATCACGTGTTTACCCTTAAAAACAAAAGAAATAAAAAGAATTCATGCTTGATTGTGACCCTTCTTTTACTGTACGTTTTTATTAATTTCTTTATTTTCTTTTATGAACTGCTTTTAATTACGACCCCACAGTTTCCTGTTTATTTACACGAGTATCCTCCTTCTTTTCCACAACAATCCAAACAAATTTCAACCATATAAATTTCAATAAAAAGGCGTGGAACTTTAGCTCTACAACTTCAAACACTTTAATGTCGTTATGTAAAAATAATTATCAATGTCTCACTCACAATATATTTATCGATTTTGTTGATAATTAATCTTTATTATAAAAAAATCTGATTAATTAATTTAAATATAATTTTTCTTTCTTATCATATTTCTCTATCAGTAATATTCAAACTAAAAATGTTGTTTTAAAGTTAAGTTCATATAGATTGTTGATTCCTATCAAATAACCTAAATAATAAATAAATAAATAAATTTATCTAATATGAGGCTTTTAAATTTGGTAATCTGATGTGACTGAATATATAAGACCCAAAGCTAACGAAACATCTGAGCATGTAACTAGGTACACCTTTTTATTTGCTACTATTCTAGAAGGGCGATTTTTCTGTAAATAACCCCCTGATTTTATGGGCTAGGACAGTTTACTAGTAGGAGTACAGCAATACACTCAGTTTTGTCCTCAACTCTCTGCACTTTATGCCAAAAGTTAGTGTAACTACCGTCTCTAATATGCTATTAGTAAGTCAAACAAAAGTCACCAGTCAACCAACCAAACAATTTTTATTTAATCTCTTGACAATTCTTAACAAGTACATCACTTATAACATTAGTTAAAGAAAACAGAATAACAATTTTTTTTATTTATTGAAAGTATTCATAAAGCATTCAAATTATATAATATTTTTCAAATTCTTTTATTTAATAGCTTCTAAACTATATCTTATTAATGAGATTTTAGTTTTGCTTATGATTTTATTATTTATTATATATGTTAACGTAGTATTTGGTTGGATGAGGATGAAATAGAAAACAGCAATTTTTTTAAACTTTTCTGGTTTAATTCAACTTTTATGAGAATGGATGAAAACTCTTTCTCATATGTAGTTTTAACCTCATCTAATATTGGAGGGATTTTTAAAGGAGTAAAATTTTTAAAACATTTTTAGTTTAATGTTTAAAATAGTCTAACATGTGTTTTTTAAATTCAAAATTATAAACTTACAATGTTAAATTGATTTTTAAAATTTCTTCTCTGGTGTTATAAAGCAAACAAGACATAAGCTAACTATTCTCCCTCCATTAAAATTTTTCTTCTTTCCTTCTTTGAACAGAACAAACTCTAAATACAATGACTTTTTTTTGTTTAATATCACGAGCATCAATCAAGCCAGGCAGCAGGATAATCCATAGTATAAGTGTGTAACAATGAGGATGTGTAACCTCTCCTACTAAGTCAAGTAATCACAATTTTATATACTTAAAGTCGAGAATCACACTTCAGTTTTTGGCTAAAAAATATCAGTATCAAACCACTAGAGTTAACGATTTTTTCAGCTAAAATGTAATGATTTTGAATTTAATATTATTTTTTTCTTAAAAATCACAATAAAAAACGATCAACAAGATTGGATATTATATTATATTCTTTTAATATTTTTGTATTTTTTATTCTGTGGTAATGGTTAGAAAATTGTTTGTTTACGACTGTCGGGGGTCATTTATTATTGACAATCACTTTAGAGAAAAAGATAGATGACAGTTATGAGAAAGAAAGAAAGAAAAAAATGTGTTGATGGGATTAGACCGGTCAAATGTACTGTCTCTGCATGGGAGGGAGTTACTGCATAAAGATTTCAGCGTTTTATGTGGAAAAGATCTTTATATATAGGCCTGCCTTCTGAGTTTTGCAGAGACCAACTTTGGCTGATTCCACACTGATACCTTGCTTTCTTCCATCACTTTTCTCACAACAATCTTTGGTTTCCAAACCCTATAACCTCTCATCAAATGGCAGCTTTTTCTTCCCAATACTACCAGCCCTTTCTAGTTGACTCCCCCGCATGCTTCTTAATTACTCCTCCCATAAACGACGTGCCTTCTTTGGGGGAGCATGGCCTTATAAACACCACCACTATTACTAATACCCTTCATTCTTCTTCTCATTATTCTCACAATTTTTATCACGAGACTAGCTCTGTTGATCAAAGCTCCAAGGTTACCAATACCATCAGTGACACTGAGCCTTCTGTGGTCAAAAACCACAGTCCTGAGACATCCATGGTTGTAGACAAGCTTGAAAAGGGTGAACAGGTCACTCAGAAGGTCACCCCTATGGTGAAGAAGAGAAGAGCAAAATATGGATCTTCCTTGAGTAGCCCCTTATCAAAGGTATACTTTTCTATGTATTTTTTTTCCTGTTTCTTATTTAATTTAATCCCACAAAACTTAAGTACAGCCATATAAGTATTAAGTATTATCGGTACTGTTTTTCAATCAAAATTGAAAATACACATTAAACAGTTAAAACTACATTTTTAATTAAATAAGTGTAGCTATGAAATAGCTAAGTTTTGTACTTATAAACTACTCATGTTAATATTTTAAACTTTGGTATTTAACTGACCTCATCTAAGAATTTTGTTGAGATTGTATACACTTCACATGTTAAAACAAGAATTGGCTCGTTTTATATTCCATAGGAATCAATAGAAAAGGGAAACAAGAAACAAAAGAAGAGCAATGGTGGGATGAAAGGAGAAAAGAAGCCAAAAGAAGAGAAAAAGGGCCCTGAAGATCCTCCAACGGGGTATATCCACGTTAGAGCAAGAAGGGGTCAAGCAACGGATAGCCACAGCCTTGCTGAAAGGGTACAATACATTACTCTTAACACAACAACTAGAAATTATCTCTCATTCATGAATATGTGTGTATGTATGAATATAATGAGTTTATGACTAGTTGGATATATACCAGAACCCCTTTAATACCCAAAGATTCATGTCTCACTGTGATTGTTGCAAAAAAAATATTAATGGACTCCAGGTGAGAAGAGAGAAAATAAGTGAAAGGATGAAGACACTGCAACGACTTGTGCCAGGCTGTGATAAGGTGAATAGTTTCACTTCTTTATAATTTATTTTTTATTATTTTATTTTTTAGTTTAATTTTTTATATATATCTTGGACGAGATATAGTTACATGTTTCTATCAGCTCTTCTTGACAGCTACGTTTGATTTGCTTCATAAATGTTATTAGGTGACCGGAAAGGCCCTTGTGTTGGACGAAATAATCAATTATGTTCAGTCCTTACAGAATCAAGTGGAGGTAGCTAGTGGCACCACAATATATACTCTTTTTTTTTTCAAAGTTATTTCACATATTTATTACATGCAATGCCTAAACTAATGATCTATCTTGTGCAGTTTTTGTCAATGAAACTTGCTTCCGTGAATCCCATGTTTTTTGACTTGGCAATGGATTTGGACACCCTCTTGGTTAGACCCGATCAGGTGAGAAAATAGAACCTAAAATTTTTCCTGTGCTAAAATGATATAAGATATAGTTGCCTGAAATAAGGCTAATGATGAAACTTTGTCCCACTGAATTTCAGAAAATAAATATTATAGCATCACCATCACCATCGCCATTTCCACTAGCATGTGCAGCACAATGCAGACCAAACCAGGCCATAGCTTTTGCTGACACAACCACCACTACCACCAGCTTCCCCACCGCTAATAATAATGACTATCTTTTGGATTATTCATCTTCACTTTTTCTTCAAGGCCAGAGACCAAACGTCTTCTTTGAGGTACATATGAAACCACTTTTTTTTATCGGTTTACATTTTGGTTTAATTGACTTGTGTTTGAGAATAATATTATAAAATAATTAATTTTATTTATTTAAATTTTATAATAAATCTCGTTTTAAAGTGTATATATAGACACGGTTTTTAGATTTGATTGATCATTGAATCAATGTTTGTTTAAAAGAAATATATTTTTCTACTATTTTTAAAATAAATAAATTTTATTGTAGAATTGATTTTGAGAATGTAAGATCTTAAGTACGTATTTGTATTCACGTCCAAAACGTGAAAAATCACGTTTAACGTGAAGCTACACGTTGTAGCTTCCACGTTAAACGTGACTTTTCACGTTTTGGACGTGAATGCAAACACACTCTAAATTAAATATCCAAGATATATGGTGTAACTCGATTTTGGTGGTGAGTAGACAGATATTTAAGTTTTCAAATAATTTATCCATCCTTGTCAAAAATAAAATATCCATTATTATTGTATTGGAAGTTTTATTATCATTTGATCCAGGGTTGTAATCTTGATATTCTATTCTTTTATATAAATGTTAAATTTCAATTCAAGATAAAGACATAAACAAATTCTCTCTGTTTATTTTTTTTAGATAATTACAAGATTATAAAAAAGGGGCAAAGAATAAATAATTGATAGAGAAAGGAGGGTTTTTATTTATTTATATCTTTTTCCTACATATATTCTGACAAAAACATAATTTTCAGAATTTCGGTGGTCAAATTTGGGACGCAGAAGACCAAAGAGAAAAGTTTGTTCATCCATATGGATTCGGCAATAATTCGTGTTCTTTCAATTAGTATCAAATTCAGACATGTGGTAAGCTCCAAGCTCATGCCTTGTAATAAAACCATATATGCTCATTATTCATTAACATGATCTGCTTCTTAAGTTTCTAGTAGGTTGCGAAATTCCAAACAAGTACCAGTATGAAAGAAAAATGAAAGCTCGGGTTGGTATCAGTGTATGAGAATACGAATATGTGATGATTTTGAAGGGTTTGGTTAATTTGGTTCCTACTCAACCAAATTAAAGAGAGCATTGAAGATGGTGAATAAAGTGCAGCAAAATTAATGAATGAAGAACAGTAGAACACAAAGGACAGAAAATGCCGACCAAATAAGGCCATATCTTTTGCTAGATCCCTTGTTCTGTTCCTGTCCAACAACATGATGCACAAACTCCAAGACTCTCTGTGTCAATCCTTCAGACATGGAAATTTATGTCACGTAAATTAATTATTAGGGAAAACTGATTCTTGTGGTGGCAGTTATTCTGTTGATACAGTTAATTTCACCGTTATGCAGAAATGATAGCTTGATGCTACTGATCACTTTGACAAGACATGCCAATGCAATTGCCATGCATATTTTGGTGTAGTTCACTTCATCTATATTTGCAGAATCTTTAGACTTTTGGCACTATTATGCTTCATTTTTTCTAATTTAGTTATTTGGGCTGTTTCATTTTCCGACAATATATAGGCAGATCCTAGATGCTACTACCTATGGTCGACTCATATAGCTACGCTAATATGAATTCAACGTTAGAAAACACAGACAAAATAATTATTATCTAATCAAATAATACAAAATTGGTAATTTGTGAGTTGTGATCAGTTTTTTTCTTCTTCTTTTCTTCAAATTCAACTTTTTGTGTCACTTGTAGGTCTAAGACTGACAGTTTTCTCCCTTTGTTAAAGCAAACTCGCCTGCAACTCATGGGTACATAAGATATATTTGTTTATATTTGTCTTAATTTGATCAAAAAGCCTTTCATATAATATATATATATCATAAAATAAATACTGCAAATTTTCATATTACTTCTTTTAAAAGTCATCCACTAATCTCAAGCGTGTAGTTCAGCAGTAGGGGTTGATCCACGCTTAAGCAAGGTCAGGGGTTTGAATCTTGCCTTGTGTATGCAGCCGCGTTAAATCTGCATAAAATAAATACTGCAAATTTTCATATTACTTCTTTTAAAAGTCATCCACTAATCTCAAGCGTGTAGTTCAGCAGTAGGGGTTGATCCACGCTTAAGCAAGGTCAGGGGTTTGAATCTTGCCTTGTGTATGCAGCCGCGTTAAATCTTGGGACCAGCTATCCCACCCTTTGAAGTGTCTCCAACGTAGCGAGGAGATTAGTCACTGCTGTCGGCGGTGGATACTCCAGGAACGAACAAAAAAAAAAGTCATCCACTATACTTATTTAATGAGTCATACATTATAAACATTTTAACGAGTCAAATGTGATATTCTCATCAATTTAACTGTTGCCATAAATAAATTAAATTTATTATATTACTATGTTTATTTTTTTT